CAAGATGGGTAGCCATGTTTGTCTGTAGCAGTAGAAAAGAGCAAGAGTCCAGTAGCGCCTTAAAGACTAACAAAATTTGTGTTAGGGTGTGAGCTTTCGTGAGTCACTGCTCACAAAAGCTTATCCCCTGCCACAATTTTTGTTAGTATGTAAGGTGCTACGGTGCTGCGGTGCTGCAGTGGCTCAAGTGGTTAAGACGCTGAACTGCAGGCTGTGGAAGGTCAGTAGTTCAGCAGTTCGAGACCTGCGTGCCGCATGATGGAGTGAGCTCCCATCTCTAGTTCCAGCTCCTGCCAACCTAGCAGTTCGAAAGCAAGAAATTGCAAGTAGATAAATAGGTACCACTTCTGTGGGAAGGGAACAGCGTTCCGTGCACCTTGGTGTTTAGTCATGGCGGCCACATGACCACGGAAACGTCTTTGGACAGCGCTGGCTCTTCGGCTTTGAAACGGAGATGAGCACCGCAACCCTAGAGTCGGACTCGACTGGCTTTCGAGCAAGGGAATCTTTACCTTTTTAAGGTGCTACTGGACTCTTGCTCTTTTCTACTTGGCACATGATTTAATTAGATTGCCAGGGTTAATGTTTTGGCTGTTTAACATTTATGATGCTCCCCACTGCAAAATCTCTGGCTTCAAGCCCGTGTGCCTTTGCAATTGCCCGTGGGAAGCCCTGTGTGAATAAACTGTGTGAGCACGCTACTAAAGTAACCTTTAATTTATCCCCAACCGGGCGCTGAAATGGATTTTAGAGAAAATATTCTCAATGAAATGTTCCTGTTTCAGTCTTCCTTTCAAAAATCCAAACATTATATTATCCATTTAATATTTTGCAACCTCCCGATTACGAACGTTGTTTGATTTAAAAGCTGTAGGTGGAAAATGGGGTAGAAAAATACTGAATGGGCCAGTTTAAGATAATCAACCAGACGTTTCTTTTTAACTGAACAACTCAGACTAGAAATTCAAAAGCAACATTTTGAGAAGTAATAAAATCAAATGTTTAATTTGATTTCTGCCCTACCCCCACCCACCTCCATTGCAAATCTTGAAATCACTTCTTAAAAATGCTCAGGTTCAACAAGAAAAGTTCCAGAAGTCAAAACTCCAAAATGGCAATTCTATTTGTTTGAAACAGGCACGTATATGCATGTATCATTGTATCCTGCTTTTCTTCCCTATGATCGCCCAAAGCAGTTTAAAACATTCTACCCTCCTCCATTTATACTCTCATCCACAATCCCATGAGGTAGGTTAGACTGTATGAGGGGCCCAAGGTCACCCAGCAATCAGAGCGGAGGTTTGATCCCGGTTCTCCTGGATCCTATTTGGTCATTCTAACCACTATGCAATGTTAGAAAAGAGCAAGAGTCTAGAAGTCACTGCTCACTTCTTCAGATACAGCTAGAATGTGAGTCCATCTCAGGGGTCGTTTCGTAGAAAAAGAGCTAGGGGAGCTCATTAGCATAACTCATTAGCATATGCCACACCCCCTGACATCACCGGAAGTGTGTCATAAGGCCACACAACCCGCCCCCAAGGGTCCCGGCTGCCGCCGCCGGCCTTGCAGCTCCACTGCCAAGCCCCATGAGGGGCCCGGCGGTGGACCTGCAAGGCCGGCGGGAGTGCAAGGAAGCCCCGCGAAGGCCCTCCCTGGCCCCAGGCAGGCAGGGGTGGGGAGAGGTAGGGAGGAAGCAACTTACCCTCCCTCTTCTCCTGCCTTTTTTCCTGGCTGAATGAGGGCCAGAAGCAGGGGGCAGGGCTTTGTCATGTTCCCCGACCCCCCGTACCTCACCCGGGGGAACTGCGATCCCTCGCGATCCCCCCGGAAATGACCTCTGGTCCATCTGCCCCTATGTCTTGGAGAGTGGAGTGCTTTCAGATGCCGAATTTACATTAGCAGACAAATGACAATAGGTGTGATTGGATTAGGTGTGATATGTAGAGAGGTAACAGGCAATGTGTTCCCTTACTTAAAGAAGAAGAAGAGATTGGATTTATACCCAGCCCTTCACTACCCAAAGGTGTCTCAGAGCAGCTTACAAACTCCTTTTCCCTCCCCCTCCCCACAAAAGACACCCTGTGAGGTAGGTGGGGCTGAGAGAGGTCTTGACAGAAACTGCTCTTTTTCAAGAACAGCTCTTATCAGAACTATGGCTTGCCCAAGGTCATCCAGCCAGGTGCAAGTGGAGGAGTGGGGAATCAAACCCGGTTCTCCCAGATTAGAGTCCGTGCACTTAACCACTACACCAAACTGTAAAGCAATATATATATTTTTAATTTACTTCATTTATACCCTGCCTTTCTCTCCCACGGGGACCCACACTGGCTCACAGCATTCTCCTCTCCTCTGCTTTTTCCTCACAACCAATGCTCCCTCTAAGGTGTGGAGTCTTGTGAGCAAAAAATCTACTTGGTGAGCTACTGGCATTAAAGTTGTGAGTGAGACATTTGGCTGCTGCATAAATCGGTTTGCTCGGGAGCCCTCCTTCCTGAGCTAAGACAAAAATGTGTGCGCCGGAGGCTAAAAAACTGCGAGCTAGCTCACACTCACTCAGCTTAGAGGGAACACTGCTCACAACAGCCCTGTAGGGTAGGGTAGGCTGCAAGTCCAAGGGACTGGCCCAAGGTCATCCTGTGAGATTCCAGGGCAGAGTGGGGAATCGAACCTGGGTCTCCCAGATCCTAGCCCATCACTCTAGCCACTAGGCCACACTGCCCATTACTGAGTACAGTTGGGTAGGATTGGGTTTAGCAGGATTTCCTGGTCATCCTGACTGCAGTGGTGATCACAGGAAAAGATGCAAAACAGAGAGAGTTGATAAACTGAAGTTTGAATCTGGGTGTCTCTAGTTAATTCAGATTCATCCACTGGAGAGTGTGGGGACATCATTTGGCTGACATTTTTTTTTAATGGGGTTTGCCAAAAAGATGAAAGAATTGTACCTGGCTTGGAGCCTTCCAGGAAACCACCCCATTTGTTATGGGACCCCAGTCCTCAGGATTTTTGCTGCAAGGCACATTAAGGATTTAACCCTGGAATTTCTTATTATTATTACTGGACCCTGTTATTTAAGGCTATTCCAAAGCATGTGCAGAGTGTCTGTGCCTCCCTCCGGAGGAAACTCAACCAACCCTCGCAATTACAGTTAAGGAGGAGGACTTCCCAAACACTAGAGCGCAACTTCCGGGCACATTTTGAGGCGCTTTCTATTAAAACACTACCTGCTTCCTATCTTAGATGTAGGGAGGGGAGTTCCGGATGCTGTTGAGTTGAAATACCCTCTGTACATGCTGGCGACGATTTTCCATTCCCCCCCCCCCCAAGACCTCTTCCAAAACAGGTACTTTTGAGGGCGAGCCTTGGGTTTAAATGATGCTTCGTATTCGTCACTGTAAGCGAAGCTAGATTTGGGTTTTTTAAAATTATTTTTAAATGTTTTTTAAAAAGCTTTGTTCGGGAATATCCCCCATCGGGTAGAGAGAGGTGGTTTCGGGAGACGCGTGCCCCGCAGGGGGCGCTGGATCTCCGCTTCCCAAATCTTGTTTAGCAACAATTTTGCATACGTGCGTGCAAAAGTCTCTTGCGCTCGAACCTCTGGCGAGGCTGGCCGGCCGCGGAGAGGGAACCGAGCGAGTGGGGGGGGGGGGTCGCCGTCCCGCCCTTTGTAGGGATCCCTTTTGTTGCCAGGATCTGGGAGGAAGATGGTCGCCGGCCTCCCTTGCTGCCTCCTTCCCCTC